CATTATCCAGTGGAAAAAGTGGGTTTTTAAAACAGTAATTTTAAGAATCTCCTTTTTTTTCTTTTTTGGTCCTCTTTGGATTTGCTTTGTTGAATTTTCTCCTTAGAAATGTGACTGGAACATGTTTGTGAATAATCATCAAGAAAAAAATGGCAAGGTACCTTTCCTAAAGTTGCTTTTTCTCCATTCACCACACTCATCTGATGTGATTCTGTCCTAGGATGAAGTCGAAGCCTCCTCATTTTTAAATTCCAGCTGACAAATTAGAATAATCTGATTTGCTAATGGGAAAATAAAAATATTTGCAATTCATTTTGACCACGAGAGAATCGGGGTGTCAAAGGTTCTCAGTAAACACCACATCATTACTGTGATGTGAATGGGATGTGTGATTATGAGGAGGTGATCATTATTCAGAACACAGTCGGAAAAGCTTTTGGCCTTTGAACTGATTTTAAAATATGCTTTTCATGTTCGGTTTATTGGGGTGGAATATATGTAGATAATGGTCCTAGTAAGAATYTATTCTTYRTTCGTTTTTATTCTTTTTTGCTCTGTTTCATTAGTAGAATTTAAAAGAGTCTTCAGTGGAAACAATGCAGAACTATGGAAATATCAAAATACCCCCTGAAATAGAAAAAGAACCTCCATGTATATTGCACAGTTTCCACTATTACCAATATCACATCAATTCTGTTATCCTGTTCTTTCTATATCCCATAACTATTTCTGCATTGCAAACTATCCCATAACCTCCTCATTTTACAAAAATAAAAAAGCTACTGTTGCTCCTGAGTCTCTTTGTTTCTTTGGGTTGGATTTACCAATCTCAGCCATTCTTGTCTGATTTTGAGAAGCTGGTGTTTGCATTTGTTGTTCAGCTGTGGGTCACTGGGGGCTGGCTGGTCTAGGATGACTGGGTGTTGGTCAGCACTATAGTGGTGACATGAGGCGTGACTGTCATCTGACCGCAGAGTGGCCCAGGCTCATTCTTATGGTAGCCAAACCATGTTCCCAGAGACAGAAAGAGTAAAAACTTGCATGGCTTGTTGGGATACAGACTCAGACCTCATTAGACCAAAGCCTGACAGATTCTAGACATCAGAAATTGCTTCTTGGGAGGATCTTWTGATAATTGTAATTCTAATAGAAGCCGAACAAATTCACCATCCTTTTTGGATTAGAATACTGTTAGTAGAGACCAGTCCTATCACCGTTAAGAATGAGGTGATCATCACCATCACTGCTCTGTTAAGAGTTCTGTGCTCATTATATGCTACCCAACTTAACCCTAATAACTAGGTTATGCTGCAGTCACTACCCCAGGCACTAGCAGGGATGGATGAGAGAGGGCAGATTACCTGCCCTGGGCTGCATAATATGTGGTGTCTTGTTCTGACTGAATTTTCAAAATCTTATTCTGTGCACATCATTCTCTTTTATTGGAGGGTCCACTGGTCTCCATAGCTTGGAATCAACAAGAGCTTAGTAAACTCTCTTTCCTTTTCAAAGGCAGAAGATGAATTTAAGTCAAGCAGGTGAATTTGTATGCAGATTTGCCACCATATGGAATTCACTTACAAAAATTAGAGCTTGGTTGATAGAATGATTGCCCAGCATGCATGAAGCCCAGAATTGAAAGAGAGGGAGGGAGGGAGGGAGGGAGGGAGGGAGGGAGAGAGAGAGAGAGAGAGAGAGAGAGAGAGAGAGAGAGAGAGAGAGAAGAGAGAGAAGAGAGAAGAGAGAGAAATAAAATTGGAGGGATCTATGTGGTCACTTTTTAATATTGATCATATAATAGGTTACAGGTTTTTTGTTTAGAAAAAGTACAGAGCATTTTTTTATCGTTTGTTGTGTCAGAAGTAGCTCTGTAGCTCTATGAGGTATGTCTGTGCTTGTGTAATACTCTTAATTCTTAATGTACCAGGCACCTGAAAAAGCACAGGTGGTCAGGGTGCATCAATTGTATGATATGACACTAGAGTCTCTCTGCAGGTAGATGTCAGAGATGATGGTTTTTGTTTCCAAGGAGGAGTTAAATTAGTAGAAAGACTAGATCCAGTTCATCCAGATGCAGGAACATTAATTGATTTGGTTTTGGATCTGAGTTAAAAATTAACATAAGCTCTCAGATATCAGCTTTGTGAGTCTGGGTCTCCAAAATAGTTTAGCATATTTCACTCTTGTTTGGAGTATCAGCTCCATCCTGAGTTCCCATAATGGATTTTCGCTCTGCGGTCTGGCAGGAGAACTTAACCTCATATTCTTTCAAGAGAGATGAATGGGGATATAATTTTATTGCTGTCTTATTGTTGTAAAACAGGATTACYGAACAATGTGCCCTTTATGCACGGGACAATGAAATTAAGGCTGACTTTTCTTTCCCATCTAAAAGCTATTTGGAGGCTTCTGTCACCACTTAATGGAATCTTGCTTGCAGGGGGTCACACATTAACTTTCAGTAATTTTAATGACTTAGCCTATGAGCCTACATTCACCTCAGGTAGATTGAAGCTATTCCCTGCAGGAGATAAGGTCAGAGGTAGAATTAACCATGACCCGTATTCTGGGACCTGATGAAGTCATCAATATTCTTKAGGTCTCTGAATAGGTAGTCTTTGTCTTATTTTTTTTTTTTAAAGGCAGGGGTTCAATGTGGCATTTTTTCATGGGGCAGAATTTCGTGGGTCAGGACCATGAACTGAATATCATTTGAATTCCAAAGTCAGATCACCACTATTGAACAACTAGTAGCCAAGAGCCAGTGTGTCCTGTGCCAATTACGGACCCTCCAACTCACCARCTCAAATTAGGGGTGTAACTGAAATTGACCCTGTCTGTTCTCACGTATTTGGTGGTCCTTCTATCAGAGTGGGATGATAGATGAGACATTAATCTGGAAATATGGTCTCCTAATAGCACCGTGGTTTCAAAAGCCTTGCCTCTTGTAAATGGAGGGCAGCTCATTAAACACAGAGATGCCATTAAAGCAATCACTGTCGAGTATTAATGGAACAGAATATTAAATAATACATTGCAGGTAAGGAGTGATGTGCAACTGTAAATAATGAATTTATATCATTATTATGACACTGTTGCAGAAGAGAGAACAAAGAGAAAAATTTAAAGGAGAAGGCATTAGTTCTCTTTCGACTTTTTTTGTCTTCGAAATAGATGCATGACCTGGTAACTCCCAAATCTGTACCCATGCGTAAAGCTCAGTTTATTTAGTTTGATCAGTGTCTTCCTTTTATAATAAAAATCAACATTTTCTGTGTTTTATTTGTTTGATTAGAATAACACTTCTTTTAAAAGGGGGTGTCAATTAACATACTGTCGCACGTGGAAGTACTTTAGATTACTGACAAAAGTTCTCATTTTAGGAAATGTTCTGAAACAAGCCAAGTTGATTTTTTTTTCTCTAATTCTCATTTTACTGATGGGGATCATTGGGATCAGAAAAAAAAATTGGAATAATGCTGTTATTCTAGATCATAGTTTGGAGGAGAGTGTAAATGGAAGGRTATTAATCTGACTTATTTTTTCCCTTCAATCTAACTTTTCTTAAAGTAAAAAATATAAACTGGATTTCTCTCCCTTAAAATTTCCAAAATTATAAAACAGTCACATCGGGTGGTACTTTAAATTTGATCTACTTCTCCTGTATAGGAAAGACATAARTCATTGATCTTCTAAATTGCAATTTGTGAATTAAAAAGTCAAAATACCTGGAATTCAATATAAATTTAGTGACTTCTCTGTGTGTCTTAATCCTTTCTTTCTTTCTTAAAAAAGAAGCATTTCTAAGGGAATAAAAAGAGTAATTGACTTTTGGGGGTAGGAGGGGAGAAAATTACACATTTGAAAAAGCAATATGATTTGAAGCATATTATCATTGTGTTGTTATTTTCAAGACTACATAGTAAACAATGTTTATATATCTATTATTGCAATGTTTGGGGAAAAAAATGATATATCCTACTATCAAAGTAAAGGAAAATTGAAATTTTACCCTTATTCTGTTTCATTGGAAAATTTAATGGGACCAGTCGCCATTGGTGGTAACTTTGAAGTGAATTAGACATTCTGCTTAAGTCGGAAGGTGTTATCTTCTGCTTGAATCAAACCTACTTCTGTAGTTTAGTGAAAAGGCTTATCCTCATTAATTGGTTCTCCCCCCCTTCCCCATTCCTTGCTAAAAATATTCACCTTCTATTGTGACAACATTGAACACAGCAAGATATTTCACAGAAGGATCCAAGATTTGTCTGTGTGATCTTTAGTGATGGCTCTGATAGGGTTCGGTGCTTGATAGAAAAAAAAAAAAAAAGATTGTAAAAAAGCTGCCTTTTGAATCAAACTAAGTGAAATTATCCTCATAGCCATTGACGCTCAGTACACTGTATTAGGGTGCTCTCTAATAAAAATTTCCTTTGAGTTGCAAACATGACTCATTGGAAAATTTAACGGGACCAGTCKCGATTGGCGGCATACCTGTAATCTCAGCATCTCGGAGGGAGTCTGGGTCAGAAGGATCGCCAAGTTCAAAACCAGTCTCAACCACTTAGTGAGGCCCTACCAACTTAGCAAAAATGAGGTGCTCAAAATAAAAAATAAAATAAAAAGGGCTGAGGATGTGGCTCAGTGGTAAAGCACCCCTGGGTTCAACCCTTGGTATCCAAAAAAAAAAAAAAGAAAAAGAAAAAAGTTTATGATTTATATTATACTGTATATCAACTGTCATGTATTTTAAATATGAAGAAGAAACACATCACATTTTGGGTGTGGAATTGTTAGAGAACAGGTTCATTAAAATGGTTTCAAACAGAAATATTTATTTTATTTCTGGGATGTTGACATTGGAGTCCATGAACTGAAATATCATTCTCTTTATTTTTAGAGTTTCCAAGTTGTCCACATCTGCCCAGCTATCCAGGAGAAGTAAGAGAGACATTACCATTTTCAGTCTTTCTGGGCTTTCTCCTCCTTCCTGAAGAGCAATGGGGACACTTTTAAGTGGAAGAGGATTCGTCACATTTCTGATTCTCCTCCTGTTACAGTCGTCAGCAGCAACTGAAATACCACTCTCAGGTACGGCGACAGCTTTTGACTATACCTGTTGTGGGATTTTGTATTTGCATTTTCAGTTTTTAAGTAGAATACTTGTGGATTGAGAAAGTAACTTTTTCATCATATTTCTACATATTTTCTAACCATCTGTCATAAGGATTCATGCATGTCTTTCTTTCTTTCTTTCTTTGATGGATGACACTAGGCTACTATAATWTTTTTACAGCTCAGGATTTTGTTTTTTATGCAAACGTGGCCTATAGCAAGAAACATGACTGGTAAATCAGGTGATTTTTGCCATTTGTCTAAGATAYTCTACAATATTACAGCTCTTATTTTTTTATATGTTTAAGTCATTTTATTTTAAGGATAATTTTTATTTAGAAATTACTGGCATTCAACAAATTGTAGCAAAAAGGAATTGAGTAAATTTTGTATCCTTTCTCAAAATAATTATGTATTTTAAATGAAAACATTTGGGGAAATAACAAAACGTCATTTTATAACTGAAATAATAAGCTGATACRATCTCCAAGACTAGCATATTATGTAATGTGTATTACACATTAAGAGTTAGTGATACTGCAAATATTGATTTCTTAACATATATTGGTAATACTGGATGCAAATTTTACCCATCATAAGTCAGGTTTAACAAATGATAAGTCTTTCACAGTTCAAAAATTGTACATCAAGTACRGAATGTAGGTACTTAGAGAATATTTCTTATGTTGTAAAAATACAGGCTATTAAAGATCCTTGAGAGGTTGTTGAGGAATTTTTAAGGTATAGTTCAACTATAATTCCTTCTGTTTCTTCCATATATAATCTGAGAGTTATAAGAGGCTGTTTATTAGGATCTTGGCATTAGACATGATCATTGTGAATAATCTGAATTCTAGAGAAATAGTCCTAACCTCATAAAATTCACTAAATGTAGAAAAGTGCTAACATTGAACTGAAACTTTTCCTTTTGAGGTACTCAGACTTTATATGGATAGAAAAGAAAACAACTCTCTGACTATATACTATAATGTGTTTTTAAACCATTTCTGAGGGTAGTTTTAAATTATCTGATGGAGCAAGTTTTACCTCACCCAGTACCTTTCCATTTCAACCCCAGCCCTCCCCAGCCGGGAATTCCTTCTCTACTATTTATAATGGTTGGTTAACTGGGCCCTGTGGCACACACCTATAATCCCAGTGGCTCGGGAGGCTGAGACAGGAGGATCATGAGTTCAAAGACAGCCTCAGCAACTAAGCAAGGCCCTAAGCAACTCAGTGAGACCCTGTCTCTAAATAAAATACAAAACAGGGCTGGGGATGGGGCTCAGTGGTTGAGTGCCCCTGAGTTCTATCCCTGGTACCCCCCCCCCCAAACAAACAAACAAATAAATAAAAGTATAACAGATGGTTAAACCTCTGTTTCACAATTCCCATTTCTTAAGGAATTTTACTCCCTGCCATATAGATAAGCAGATTTAAAGTGCTGTGTACTTTGAGTGCAAACCTTCCAGCCTTTGTATGATCCATGGAATTTCACTCTGGACTCGCCCACTTGCAGACCTTCTGGCTGAGAGTCTGAAGCACCCTTCCGTAGATTCTTTTCTAGAAGCACGTGATGATGCCAAGGTACCAGCAGCGGAGGTGCCACTGACATTCGTGATCCGGATCCCTTTCTCTAACACCTACCTTTTCCTTCCTTCTTTTCTCCCTTGCTGATCAGGGTTGAAAGATGTGAAATTTGGTATTAATCCACGCACACATTTTTATCTGGTTGTCTCGGTGACGTATTCATTTTCATGCTGTGGTGTCCTTTGACGACGACGATTGTTATAAAATATTAATGGCTTGTTTTCAGAGCAACTGAATAGTATCTGTTTATTTCAGTCCTCCAGAGCACTCGCGGGTAAATGCATCGAAGGCAGGTATCCAATTTGAATGTCAACGCGTCTGGTGTCTCTGTAATTGGCCTAATTATAGAGGAAAGGATTTATAATGGAGAATATATATTCATATAAATACCCAAAGGTTATTAGCTCCATTCCCTGAATAATTAGTTATGGCTGAGCTTTTACAACCTTAGCAAATTTAAGAAAGAATAATGTTATAATAAACAAGTTGTTCTCAAATTATTAGCTGATGTCTTAGGGACTCTCACCATTGTGCTTCTTCTCTGCCCATTTATGCCACTAATGAGATTTAAATAATACAAATCTTCAGTGAGCTCAAGACTTAGAAATAACTGTCAATCAGAAACAAGGTAAATGTCAATGAATAGATGGATTCTTTTTTTTTTTTTTTGAGCATGGCTAAAATGTTTCTGAATATCCAACTGATAACTGAACCTAGTTATTATTCATAAAGTAATAACACTCTCTTATCAGATTTATTAGATAAAAATAAAGAAAATATAATTTGGGGATTGGGAAGGGAATTCAGTTTTTATTCTAGGCTGACTGTTGGGGCTTAAAGTGCGGTTTGGTTTGTGGACCTTGGCAGTCCCAGAGATGCCTTCAGATGGTGGATGAGGTCAAGTCGTTTTGAAATGTCCAATTTCCCTTCCTGTCATTTGCATTCATGGTGCAAAAGCAAAGGTAGAAAACTGCTGCTGAGGAACAAGTCGGACCTCAGCCGCCAAACCACACTAAATAGTGCTCAAGGGTTTTCTTCCTGGCTGAATTCTCATAGTAAAGCAAACCCCTCCAAAATACAGAACAGAGCAGCTCTGCTGGACACTGCAATTGCTGAAATTGCGAAGCATTCTTTAAACTTCCCTAACTCTCCACCCTTGACTACATTGTCATAACTTTGGGATGCACTGGCCATGCAGCCGGTGTGAGATAGATCTGCTGAACCCTAGTGTGAGGACTGTCTCTTTCTTGACTCTGGCAATTGCCTGAGACCTTGAGCCCTTTACTCGTGAAAGCATGACTGACAGGTGAATTATGGTGGCTCACATATTTTCTTCCAAATGAACCCAGGAAGACTGTCACTTCAAGATAAACAACCCATAGTCGACTGTCAATGATAAAATTGAAGTGTTCAAGCAAAAATTAGAATCCTGGAAAACTTATGTCCTCCACGATGACCTTGAGTTTCCCCCACATTTATGAGTTTTCTGATTGGATCAGTGGTGAGATGAACAAGAGTGAATTTTTGATCTGCTGGGATGAAATGTGTCTCCGCTGAGAAGAGCTATAGAAATAATACTTTTTTTGAAAGGACCACCGTGGGCTGTTCCAAAATCATGCATAAGCTAAAAATAACAGGTAAATTTGTGTTAAGGCAGCAGAACACAAAAAAAGTTTATTGATAGGTTGCAGATTCTGCATTGCAATAAGCATTTTAGAAACTACTGCTTTTGAATTCTGCTGTCCTAGTCAGGGAGATGATCCTGCATCAGTCAGAAAGACTCTAAAATGTTCCACGCTTCTAAGCTATATATCTGCATAAGGCTGAGTTTTCTTCATATCTTTAAATAAATCAACCTCTTGCACCAGGAAGAATGCAGAAGTAGATACAGGATGGAGCTGCCTTCTCTTGAGAAATTGCAGAGATTTGCATTAATGTAAAAAAAAATGCTACTCTCCACATGATAGTGTTATTCACAAAACGTTACTTATTTTAAAATGGATCCAATTATGTGACATGAATTAACATTTTAAATGATTTTCTGTTTTAATTTCTCACATTGTATATTATGAGCTATAACCTGCATGAAAAGAAGTGTTTCGGGCCCGTCTTATAATTTTTAAGAGATTAAATGAGTCCTGAGACTAAAATTCTTGAAAATTACTCATTTAGGATGCATCCTAAATATATGATTGTGAGAACAGAGAGTGAGTGATTTAGGGCCTGGTCAACATCCCAGGTCTCAGGGTCCTATTTGATTTGTCCCTGTAGTGGGGAATATTAGTCATCTATTTGGGCTCATTGCCCGAGGGCAGATGGCATTTCTCAAAATATATTTGCCAAAGATGGTTCCTGGTTCGAAACCCTTTGCATTTCCTTATGACTTCAACCTGGTGGCTTTATTGCAAGTTTTAAGGACTTTACTAAAAAAGGGGCATCTCAATTGGAAAAAAAAATGCAGTAAATCTGTGCTTGCATTTTTATCTGTTTCATATTCCAAAATTTGATCCAAATCTGTATCTGTAATGCATTTTATTTATTCACCGACTCCCTTGTTATTTTAGTTCATTGTTTCATAGTCAGGACAGTCGAGTTGCTTAACGAAGGGAAAGGCAAAGTCACCTCCTGCTTTTAATTTTTTTTTTTTATTTGCTTTGAGGCTGATTTAACTTGCCAGTCACTAACAGTGTGAGAGGTTGAGGGGACACACTGAGTACCAAGTAGGTGTCAACTTCAGTCCCCCCGACAGATTATGAACTAGCTGTTATTTTTTTGTATCAGTGAATATTTGTCGGTTCAATTTTACAAGGGGAAACAGAAGTAACTGAAAAGACAAAAGAAAAAAATTTTAACATGGAAAATGACGAACGCTACATCAATCCATGGGAAAACTTATTTTGAACAAAACCAATTTGCAGAAATCATAAGATAAAGAGAATGAGCAGGGGAGATTTTCCTTTGTAATAAACAGTAAAGGATTTTTTTGGAATCTTTTTTGCACGTGAGAGTTTAACGGTGGTAACAATGTGGAATCCAAGATGGTCTTGAGTTGCTTGTGGGGACTGTCCCTGGGTAGAATGTTAGCATCTACGTAGCATCGTTGTCATTTAATGTACATTCCTAGAAATTTATCACCAGGCAGTAATTCAATAGGAAAATGGTACATGCTTTTGGATAGCTTTTCAAATACATGTTACCTGGAAAGAAAAGAAATAGAAAAAAAAAAACTCTTATGTTCAATAATAGAATTGTCAAGTAACTCAGCCTATCAATGGCAAGTACCAACAGAAAAGCAGTGAATTCATTTTAATATCTAGATAGAAGAACTTCCCAAAGGACCAAATGAAGTAAAATATGTACTCCTGTCAACAAAGACTGGATGCCAATCATTTTTGCAACAGATGTTTTTAAGACAGTGATAAGATAGTTTTTCTTTTGCTTTAAAAATCATGACGTTTTTCTGGGGTTCAGTAAAATGAACATGTGTGGCAACTCAAAATGACAACCGGGAAGGACATTCCTGAGCAGGGAATACAGTTGTCCAGAGGAAGTCCCTCTTGGTCTATGAATTGCACTTTCCTTGTCAGCCCACAGAGAAAGCACAGAGGAAGGGTTTCTGCTACAGCTCAGTAATTGTTGCCCACCTTCTGAAGACATGTTCTCTAATTTAGTTCAACAGGTTCCAACCATCACTAAGCAGTCCCAAGTGCAAGTCGCCTTTCCTTTCGATGAATATTTTCAAATTGAGTGTGAAGCCAAAGGAAATCCGCCACCCGAGTGAGTATCCCTTCAAGCCACATAATCATGAAGCGCACACCGTCCTTCATGCTAATTTTTAATCTGACCACTGTGAACTTGTTGCATTATGAATGTAGAACGGAAGCTCAGGGTTTCCAAGTGTATGATACCAAAGTCTATGAAAATAAAGTCTCCTTATTTTACACATTACCTAAGTGATATAGAAAAGTTACATCACAGCCAGGCAGGGTGGTGCACACCTGTCATCCCAGTAGCTCAGGAGGCTGAGGCAGGAGGACCGTGAGTTCAAAGCCAGCCTCAGCAACAGTGAGGTGCTAAGCAACTGAGTGAGACCCTGTCTCAAATTAAAAAAAAATAAAAAGGGCTGGGGATGGGGCTCAGTGGTTAAGCACCCCTGGGTTCAAACCCCAGTACCAGGAAAAAAAAAATCTTACATCACTGTCCACAGAACTGTGGCTCTCTTATAATGGAGAAGGAATTTAACTATGTGTGTGTGTGTGTATGTGTGTGTGTGTGTGTGTGTGTGTGTGTGTATTGGGGGAACACAATGCTGCCACATTTGTTAAAAACATAAAAAATTTATTTTCCTGTTTGTCTGTTGGTTTTATCTTAAAAGAATTAGGTTAAAGAAAATATCTGGGCCAGTATCAAAAAATATGTATGTAGGGTTATTTTTCATTGGATTAAACATGGAAATGGTGAAATAAGTAAAATAATTACCATATGACAGAAGATAGTGGAGTAATAAAATATGTGTTTAGTACCTTTATAAAACAAACACAATTCAATTGGCAAAGTTATGTATTTGGCATGGTCTCAAATACGTGACTAACTAATAGAACTATGACTAACTAATAGAACTGGCATGTGTGTTTTTTATTTTGAATGAGTTCTTTACACAAACACTTGCACATGTGCACACACGCACAATTACATGTACATTTATATTTATTGTAGTCTCTGATACTGCATTACATTTCTAATTGTAAAAAAGAAATTTAAATAAGAGGAACAGAACAAAACCAGTCTTTGGTTTTATTCTCTTCATTGAGACTCCATTTGTACAGTTTGTAAGATCTCTCAGATTCTTCTGAGACCCTTGTTTATATTATATTGTATTCTACTATATTATGTTTTTATCATAAAATGTTGTGGTTTTGTCACTTTGTGTACTTGTGTGTAAATATCTTTAAAAATTAAGAACCGTTAGGATCTTTAGGAACATGAAGTTGATTTTTCTCTTGCAGGTTTTCATGGACTAAGGATGACAAGCCTTTCAATCTTTCGGACCCTCGGATAATTGTGTCTAACAATTCGGGAACATTCAAGATCCCAAATGAGGGACACATATCTCACTTTCAAGGGAAATACCGATGTTTTGCTTCTAATAAACTAGGAGTGGCGATGTCGGAAGAAATAGAATTTATAGTTCCGGGTAAGTGTTCCAATGGAACATTCATTGACAACCATTTTAGAGAAGTATTAGAAAAAGTGTTGCATCCATCTGTTGTTGAATAAAGCAATATTGATTTAGGCCATTTATATATGCCTTATCATTCATGGGAAGGGGAAATTCTCTTCCAGGTCTTGATAACTTAAGATTGGATGACTTTGGAAAGCAACATAATTTGCTGTTTCTATAACCTTAGATCTGACAAGAGAGAAAATAATACTCACTGTGCTTCCTAGGAACAGGATTAAGTTCAACATATTATTAGATCAGCTAAACTAATCTGCAGTGATAGAAAATTCCACAGCTTCAGTGTCAACATGCATTTATTTCTTGATAAGTCAGTAGCTATGGGTTGGGCAATGCTTAGGGGCCAGCTCTCTGGGTGATCCACATGGGTGGATGGAGATACCATCATCCTTGGGTTGCATCTTAGGAAACTTTCCACCTTAGTGCATGAGTCTGGGGGAGTGAACATAAACAGCGTATACAGGATCTTAAATGCTTCAACAAGAAGTTACCAGACACCTGTCTCATTTTTTTTTGGTGAAGCAAAACAATTTACATGGTCCCATAAATGGATGGAGCTAGAGACTGTCATGCTAGGTGACCTCAATCAGTTGTCAAATGTTTTCGCTGATGTGTAGAAGCTAAACCAGAATAAAGGGGTGGAGAGGGGAAGTAGAGGAGTTCAGTAGATTAGACAAAGGGGAATGAAAGGAAGGGATTGGAATAGGAAAGACAGTAAAATAAATCATATTAATGATTTTCCTGCATATACATATGAAAACACCTAAGTTGACCCCACCATCGTGCCCACCCACAAGAATGGGGTCCTAATTAGAATAAGATATATTCCTTGCTTGTATAATTTTACCAAAATAGATTTTGCTGTTATGTATAATATATAACTAAGAAGAAGCAATAAAAAGTAAAAAATAAATAATGAGTTAGTTGCATGTTACATGTTATGCTATGGTTTGGATGTGAGGTGTCCCCCAAGAGCTCACGTTGAGACAATGTAAGAAGGTTCAGAGGAAACATCACTGGGTTATTAACAGTCTTAACCCAATCAGTGAATTAATCCCCTGGTAGAGATTCACTGAGTGGTAACTGAAGTGGAAGGGTGTGGCTGGATGTAGAATTGGGGTATGGCTTTGGGTATATATTTGTATCTGGCGCATGGAGTCTCTCTGCCTCCTGGTCACCGTGATGTGAGCTGCTTCCCTCCACCACCCTCACCTCCCATAATTTTCACCCCCACCTTGAGCCCCAAGGAATGGGGCTGGCCTTCTATGGACTAAGACCTCTGAAACTGTGAGCCCTTACATAAACTTTTCCTCCCCTAAAATTGTTCTGCTCAGGTCCTTTAGTCACAGTAATGAAAAAGCTGACTTAAACCCATGGTCCCCCTTAAATAATGTGGGTACCCATTAACAGAGGAGACCGAGCCATCTGTAACAATCATGGCAAACTGTGAATCACTTTGCCATTGAGGGTATTATTTATAGGCAGAATGGAAAAAAAATATAGGAAGCAAATCTAAATATATCACAAATTGAAAATATAAGTAGATAGAATAAATGCTCCAAGTGAAGGCGAATCTACAAAGTGTAGTATGGCAATTCTAAACCACAAGCATACAAAATTATTAAATCGCAAGAGATGGAAAAGCTATTCTGAATAAATGTTTTCCAAATGAAAGCAGGTATTCATCATATCAGTCCAAATAAATTTATTTATTTTAGAAAGATCTTTTCTGGAAGTTAATTCACTAGGATATATGATACTGAAATGTATGCATCAAAAGTAGTCCTGAAAGGAGAAATAGGCAAATCTGTCATAGTAGTGAGAGATATTAAATATATCTCTTTCTTTATTTTGTAACTCAACCAGAGAAAAACATTAGTAATCCCATAAAAATTTAAACAACCTAGTTATAAGCTCGAGCTATTAACATGTATAGAATATTGTATCTAAAACTGTGAAATACATTTTTTTTCCATGGGTAAGGGAAGAAAAATTATATTTGATAACACTGAACTATGAAAGAAATGCAATCAAAATATAATTAAGTTAGAATCACTATAAATGGAATCTAAAGACAACTTACATATTTGAAAACTCATTAACATTTTTCTAACTAATCATGGGTTCGATAAGTGTTCGATAAGTCAGATTTTTTTTTTTCCGGCTGTGATCAAAAGACCTGAGAAGAACAACTTAGAGAAGGAAAAGTGTATTTGGGTCTCACAGTTTCAGAGGTGTCATTCCCATGGATGGCTGAATCCATCGCTCTGGCCCAGAGGTGAGGCAGAACATCATGGTGGAAGATATAAGTAGATAGAATAAATACTCCAATTTAAGGACAATCTGTAAAGTGTCGTATAGCCATTCTAAACCATAAGCATACAAAATTATTAAATCGAAAGTGGAGTCTCTCTCCTGGCAGAGAGAGCTGCACTCACCAGAGACAAAATATAAACCCCACAGGCCTGCCCTCAATGACCCACCTCCTCCATCCACACCCTACCAGACCACAGTCACCACCTAGTTAATCCACCCACCTGGTTAATCCACGTCAGTGGACTAATGCATGGATTAGGCTCAGGCTCTCATAAACCAATCGTCTCACCTCTAAACTCCCTTGCACTGTCTCATGTATATGCTTTCGGGCCACACCTCATATCTAAAACCACAGCAATATGGAGGAAAGAGAAGATACTGTCAAGTGAGGATAATGAAAATTCTACGCAACAAAACATTCTCAATGCAGTTAATAGCATTATTTACAGGAATATTTATCATCTTTAAAATGTAGGAAAAGGAGAGGGGATAAAATTCAATGATGTAAGCTTCTTCGGTAACATAATTTTGGGGTGAAATTGACTGAGCTGACTTAAGACAATAGATGAAAGTGAAGGGAGACATACTGTGGATCCAGAAAATAAATTCAGCTAAGCAATGTGTACAACCATTATGATGAAAAGTATACACCTTCATTTACTTTGGTGCCTGGAAGGATTCTAGTTGTATTTCTTTCCTTCTTCGCATTCTTTACCTTTGTTTTATGGATCACCTTTTTATGTACTCAAAATTACTATGTATATAGCATAGTGATCCATCTGGAATAGATGTTCTGGATTATTGAGATATTATAACCATAGTAATTGACACAGCATGCACATGGGCTTTGGAAATTGGCTTTAGAAGTTTAAATTTGCAATGACGTTTAATAGGAAATGCCCATGAACTCTGGATCAGGAAGTATTGCCTTAAAATTTGTGGCTGAGAATCCTGAGACTCTATTATATAGAGAGTCAGCTATACCTGTACTGAACTTGTATAGACTTTTTCCCTGTTACTATTCCCTGAACCTACAGCATAACAACTATTTCTATAACATTTACATTATGTTCGACATTATATATATAATCTAGATATGATTTAAAGTATGTGGGGTGATGCATGCAGATTATGTACAAATATCATGTCATTACGTATAAGGGATTTGAGCATCGAAGCTTTTGCTATCCAAAATAAATCCCACATTTATACCTGAGGGAAACTCTGTATATGTAGCTACCTGAAATAAATTAAGATTAGAAATTTGAGGGACAGAAGAAGAGAGAAAGAGATTAAGCATCTGTTTTAGAAGTCAAGAAGACATCAGGCTGATACCTAACCTGAATTCAAATGGTTGCTATGGAGACAGAAAAGAAAAGGCAGTCACCAGACCTATTGCAGAGAAAGAAATGGCATGATTGTGAGATTCTACAATTAAAAGATTTTTAAAAATGTTTTCTCTCATTAGCCAAGTAGACTAAGTGCACAGACGAACAAAGGATCCACGGTAGTTCTGGGCCAGAATATGACAGTATTATGGTTAAGAGATTGAGAGTTGAATCTAAACTACACTGTGGGTAATTGCTCTCTCTCTCTTTCTGCTGCTCTAGGAAAGATCAAAATAAATTGGGTTTCTTATGCATCATTTCCAGCCTTTCCTGAAATTATTTTATCATTGGACAGCTTTCCGTAATCATCTATATGTTGAATAGGACCATCACTCCAGTCCTTAGGAGTATATCAATCTGAGACCATTTAAAACTTCCAACACAACCTCTAACAATGGATTTTCCTCTTAAGCTTTAGGGAATCGATTCTTCTTTTATATTAATAGGAGCTTTGCCATTTCAGTTGTTGTTTGCCATAAATGCAGACTTTTGTACGCATTGTTTCGTTCTTTCTATTTTCAACAATATTTCCGTTTAGTTTCCTGCAGAAAGAGTGAAGAAAAAAAAAAGCCCAACAAGCAGAATGTACCATTTATACATACTTGAAAAATCATTGAACTAAATTGGTTTTCTAAGATGTAGCATAGGGATTTAGTCAGTGAACTAGTCAACAAGCCTTCATTAAGCTCTTCTCATATGCCATCCATTTTCCTAGGTGGAATACAGTCAGCTTTCTATCCTTATAAAAAAATAATAACTTATGAGGTGAAAAAAATTATTTGGGCCCATGGTTTTGGAGATTCCATTTCTATGGTGGGCTGATGTCATAGCTTTGGGCATGTATTGAGGCAGACATCATGGAGGGAGTGTGAGAAAGTCCAAAACCTGCTTACATGATGAACTGGGGCAAAGAGAAAGAGCAAGGGGCCAAGGCCCTGTTATCTCTTAAAAGGACATGCCCCCCAATAACCTAAAGACCTCTCACTAGACTCCGCCCCTCAAAGTCTTGCCACCTCCCAACAGCGCCATCTTGTGGACCAAGCTGCTAACACATTGGCCTTTGGTACCCCAGCCATAGTGGTAGGTAATAATATAAGACTTAATGTGGGTGTAGTAGTGTGTGTGTATGTGGGAAATAGAAACTTTTTTTTGGCCTTCATTATAAACTATCCATAGAGTTTAATATAATTATATAAATAATTGTACTTACTATAGTACCCTTTAGGAGTCAGATAAGGTCTCTCCATGTAA